AAAAATCACCGAAAAGTCCCCGAAATGGCTTTCAATGCAAGACTATGTCCTAAAACATGCTGCCAAGTGAATATTTTGTGTTTAAAAGTCCAAAAAGTATTTTATATGAATATTTAAAAAATCAGCCAAAACATGACTTAGGGGTCCAAAAATAATTTTATATCAAAATTAGCAGTTAAAAGTAAGAGTACCCTAGCTCAGATATTTTGCAGACTACATTGTTTAGAAAAGTAACGGCAGGAATGTCAAGGCTGGTACCAACTGCCATGGAAGCCAATCTTGATATTCCAGGATGTGACACTGAGAAATTTCACAAGGCATATAATCAGACACAACAGCAGACTAGTGATGATAAGATTAAAACCTCAGCCTACTTTGCTACCACCTCAAAGTCCGGCCCCGGCATCATAGGCGCCTCCTAAAAGTTATAATTGGCAGAGGGACAGTAGGACGTAGGACTGGCAGACCCCTACAGGCCTGACAGAGGGATATAAACAGCAATAATAATGGTGGACTTAAACTTTCTAGGTAGATAGTACAGGCGCATTCCTACAGCCAGCAGTTCCATATCCGGGGTACAAAGCCATTCCTACACGTTGACATGACCGGGATTGCACCACCTCTTACATATATATCGCTTCGAAAACGGTTTGCAAGAACTATTTTCAACACCTTTAACATTTTTAACCCTCCTTGTTTTGAACAAAATCCAATATATTAAAAATAAATGTCATAACAAGACTTTTTTTTTAAACGCATTAATACACTGTAACTGTTAGCCCTGTGTGTAAATGGTTAGTTATGCTCTCAAATATATCAGATTTTTTATTTTTTTTATTTTTTACTGCAATGCTGTGACTGCCAAATGTCTGAATGAGAACATATTTGTATGAAACCAGATGAGACCAGAAAAAACAGCTGAAGTGAAAGTACTGTTTCGGCTTCAAATACACAAGTATATTACACACATTCTCAGAAAAAGGTGTTATTCCTTGGTGTAGAACACCAATACTCAGAGATGTTTATAAAAAGGTAGCAATTTTTCTCGTGCACAATTATCGCCACCAGATGTCTCACTTTTTCAGCATTCTTTGGGAAAAAACCAACACATTCCTTAACCAAACACTGTGAAGACTAACATCGAGAAAGTCTGCAGACTGGAAAAACACTGGAGTGAATGAATCTGACTTCACAAAGTCTTACTGTTACAGCAGTGATTTTTCTTCTTAAATAATGTGAAGTCTGTGAACCAGACAGTCAGCAGAATCCAAAGCTTTTCTCCTCCCAGTTATTGCTCAAGAGATTGGGACACCAGAGGAAATTGCAACACGTGCGGAAGAGGAAGTCAGAGTTGGACAGTGCCGTCTGAGCAGAGATTTTCTGGGTTTTTTTTAAAGAGAAAGAACATTTTTCCCCCCCTAAAACTTTGTGTGACCTTTGTGGATTTTGTCTCACATGACGGATGAACCGGAGTAACTTCAGGCTGGTGAGTGCTCCACTGTGAATCAAAGACAAAACTGGGAGAGAGTCTCTCATTTCTGAGGGATCAGAAAGTGCTGACACCTCTTATAACCTCAGGCTGGAGTCAATATATGGTTGTCATGGCAACAACATGAGGTCTCTGCAAATGCAGAAGGTGTGAATCACCACGGTTCTGTGCTTTAAATATCTCATGTCTCATCCTGGGGTCTCCCAGCAGGAGTGACTGCAAACTTAAACACATTATTCATGTAGTATTGTACTTCTAATGACATCTTATTCCTGTTGCAAATGTTGTGGCCCAAGTGCAAAGATGAAAAGATAAGAACTTTTTGCAGAAATTTCTGCAAAAAGTAATTTCTAAAATAGTTCTCAAAATAACAAGACTCGAGAAGAGAAAAAAAATAACTTCCAAAAAAAAAAATCTATACACCAAATTGTCAAAATGAAATAAAGTTTTATTTTAATTAGAGCCATGCAGAGAAGAAAAAAACTTTGCCATAACATTTCAGTCATATATTTTTCAACTGCTGACATGCTAAATTGGGATTTGTTCTCCTGCTTCTGCAGTGGAAAGAAGTCACATTTTCCTTCTTCCTTTGCCTCTGCAGTTGTTGTCTCTGGTTTTCTCCGAAGTGAGTGAAACCTTTTCTCTCTATTGTGACAACATTTTTACTGATTACCTGAGTATGTGTCGAATATTTTTATTGCGAAGCAAACGGTGGGTCAGTAAGACAACCTCTGTCGGTATAAACATTGAACCAATTCCAATAACACAGAGCTTTTACCTCGGTATGAAGCATAAACTACTGAACTACTGATGTAATATCCTTCAATTGTTGCAGCAGAAAACAAAAGCATTTCATACAAAAAGGGTCTGAATGTAGATTCAAAAGTAGGCCGAAAAAAAATAAGATTTTAAAGAAAAATCAGAAAAAGTCCATGAGTATCTGTAAAATTGGTGTCTCTAAAAAATAAAAAAATAAAAAAGTTTTAAACCTAAAAAACAGATAGCCCAAAACAAACTGCTACTAAAATTATAGATTATTAAACACTCACTTTTCATCTTAAGGGTCGTTTTCTGTCATATTTGCGGATATTCCCACGCTTAAGGTCCAGTAGATCAAGATGGATTTCTACTCTCTCTCCTCTCTTTATTTCCATGGACTGTTCCCAAGGACTGCTAAAAATAACACAGTTCCGATGCTGATGACCATCCAAGAAGAAGGGACCATATGATTAGCTCTCACTAAATCTAAAACAACTCAGTTTAATTTACAGGAAACTGCTGTGGTTTTTACAATGCAGGCACACAGTTAGCAGTCGGTGTCTTGGTGGGATTAAAATGGTCATTTTCTGCATGTGGTTTGGTGTAGGAGATGTGTTAACCCGAGTCGAACTATCAAATGCAATGAGTTCAAATATAAAATGGCTTCAAATGACTGAAAAGATTCCATGCAGGATCGGGACACGCGTCTTAATTTCTGCATCATTATATGAAGCTTCAGCCGTTTCCTCTTTAATTCTTTTATTTGTGCTCAGCACTACTTGACGGAACATAAGACCAAGACACTGATGCACTTCCTCATAGACTTATGCGTGTGTTTTGTTTTGTTTTTATTCAGCACTAAAATGCGGTCACACTCTTTTATGACTCGTGCAGGAAAAATAAGTCAAACAAATAAAGATCATTTTGTGCAGACCTTTAGCTCTTCCACAATTCTGTCTCACTGTTTCTGACTCTGACTATTCTGTAACCTGCATGTTACAAATATTATTTTTTACTGGGGTTTTTTCCTAGACTAGAAAATGCTTATTTTATCACAACAATAATAGAAAATGTTGGAAATTAAAACATTTTTATATACTGCAAAAATCAGCGATACAGTGAACCGAATACATTTAAAAATTAAATACCCGCGGTGCACTGAGGCCGCGACAGCCAATCTTGCGATACAGTGAGGGACGACTGCGTTGTCTAACATGACAACAATGTTAGTTTGAACACTTATTTGTTAAATGTGGCTGTAACAGTTCCCGCTTGATGTCCTCGCTGTGGTTTGGGTTGAACTCATGAACGTGTCACCCAAGTTCCCAGCTGTGAGAGCTGTGCCATCTACAGTATATCACGCTGCCTTCCTAAAGAAATAACTGTATTAGCACTTTATACTGAATCGTATTTATTCATTAATTTTTAATTTTTTTTGGTGACAAACCTAGGTATTCCTTAACTTAATTCTGCTATTTTACACTTAATTTAAGAAAAAAATATCAGTCCCTGCTTACCTTAGCCGTAGGAGGAGAAAGGAAAGGCATGATATTGAGTGTTTATATAAAAACAGAGCCTTACTGATAAAAATGAGAAAACTTAAGCAGATGTTGGTCTGGCCCATTTGAAAGACTTGGTGATGATGTCACATAATGCAGTATTTACACGTAATAATGAATGAAACAAATATATCCTGGAAAACAAATCACTGATTACATAACACGACCTTTGTGTTGTTTGCTTGTTCTAAAGAGCTTTCTGTTGTCATAACCTTGGACACACTGTGTCACACTGCTGGAAGACCACAAACAGATGGACAAAGTTTGCACATTACGGCCGACTAACCCCCCTAACTGAACACAAACAGACGTCAGTGGACACGCGTTCCTGTCACTTTACCGCCGCGTACAGTAAATTAACAAAGCGCGTCTGTTAAGATAGAAGATGGTTGTTTCCCAGCATGTGTGTAAATATTTAAGAATACAAAAGACCAAAAGAGCAACAAAAGCCAAAATGTTACTTTGTAAAGATATCTTACTAACTATCAATGTAGAGAAAAAACAAAGTGCACCAGGAAACGCTTTCAATCGAGAACAACAACAGATATAATCAATTTGAAAAGTCACGTTGCACATCAGAGCCAGAAACAACTAAATAATAGCTAAAAGACAGAAAACTAACTTAATTTTAACCTGAGGATGTTTTGTTTTTTTCCAAACATTGTACATACTGAAAAATATATTCCATGCCAACATAGAACAACCAGTATCTAACGTTGGGTCAGTCAATCGTTAGCACATCCGATTGGATACCATTGGAGCCCAAATGTGCGACTTAACTTTGCGCGACATGCCGTAAATAGGGACACTATCACGATATGTTGGAGGACAAAAAAATACAGATACAAAGGTATCTGACTGATATCAGTCTCAGCAGGTACTCCAAGTTGCAAAGGTTAAATCGTTCTCTAGGTCAGTCTTCCCATGATTCAAACCTCTCTTATAATTCCAAGCCAATGACTGACGGTGGGTGGTTCTGTCTTGTACTGGTTTCTAATAATTGCGGTCTTACACGTGACTCGACAGCACTCCATCTTTCCATTCTCACACCCCTAACAGCTAACTCCTACGTAACATGAATCCAGTCCCTTCCTCCCTCACTCCACAGTTGTTCAACAGAATGTCTCTTCTATTCAATCAGCCAAACAAAATCTCTTCACGCCTGCACACTTCAAGTGGTCCGGGACGCACGCATTGTAACAACCACACCCTCCATTCACTACATGTTCTGGAACAGCTCCGCTGGCTCCTGTTCAACTTCCCTATTCAGTTCTGAAATTCTTCTCATCGAATTCTAGGCCAATCTCAGGCCTCCATAGATGTCTAGCCTCATTCATATCGTTGGCAACCTTTAATACTCCAAGAGACATTTGGACCGTCTCCCACAGAAAAGAAAACACCCGGAGCCACAAAAACCTTGTAACTGTATGCTATGTATAAAAAAACAATGAAATGCTGCAGAGAACACAAAATTGTATTTCTGCACGTAAAAGTCATACAAAAATGCTAAAATGCTTTTATCATTTTCTACGCCATCTATTGTGGAAACGTGGGTATTGCAGGGAAAAGGCAGAAGTATAATGATAATATAAATACATTATATAATTTGGAAAGGTTTGGCGGACCGGATTAAAAAGCTGAACGGGCCGCATCCAATCCCCAGAGCTTAGTTTGCTCCTTCCTGCTAGCTGATGCTTTGTTTCCTTTAGGCTTTGAAGGGTTTGATTATTATTATTATATGGTTAAATTAGCAAGGTAATTAGGCAAATATTTTAGGATCTAAAATTTAAGGGATTTAAAATGACATCAGAACTATAAAAGGAATCATTTAGATATAATAAAAAAAATACTTCACACAGCAAAAAAGACCACAGGAGGGTGATTGGAAAAAAGGTGTTGGAATTCCTGATCAACCTCATAAGTCCAACAGTCAATAGTTTATCATGAGGCTGACTAAATTCACAACCAGTAATGAGTCAGAGTACTTCTGAAACCATATCATTGTCCCACATTTCCCAGCAACCACAGCACTCGCCCTGTCTCCACCAGACTTCCACCCTGTTCTAGATAAACATATTAGTAATGGTTTGCTCAGCCTTTTACTTTTTCCACTATCTGTCTCGACCATCAACGCAGATGTCACAACCAGTGACCTCTTATTGTTTGATGCCGGGGAGGAAGTCGCTTCTGAATTCTTTTTCAAGTGTTCCAGCAGGTAAAAGACACAGCAGGCATCACTTTTCATTGGGCATTTATCACGAGGCAAGGACAATGACCTGATGTTTTCAGCCAGTAAACATTTCCCTTTCAATCCCTAGTCTCTGGTCTTCTGCCAAAAACAATATCCTTTTTACAAATAAATAATATACAGTACAGAGAAATCATACTGTGAGGGTTCAAATTTATATTTAGTGCTTGGCTTTCTTGCTAAAATAAAGGAAAGGAGGAAGGAAAGTGAACTACGGGTTATTGTGACTCAGCACACAACCAAATGTGACCTCTGCTTTTAACCCATCACCAAAGTGAACAGTGGGCAGCTTTATGGGGGAGCAGTGTGTGGGGACGGTGCCATGCTCCCCCTGTAGAATTGTAGGAACTCCCCACCTTTAGTTTAGTAAACAAGCCAGAAAAGGTTCTCGTGTGTCACCAAAGCATCAAAGAAGTGACATTCAGCTGCTCCGCTGCTGAATCGCCTAATGCGTACCGACTATTAACACCTCAGTACCTGCCACAAAGAACTACATGCTCTTTTGAAATATTGACTAAGTACACGAAAGAGTGAATGACTAGACTCACTACCCATTTCGGTTTTATGGGCCACACACCGGGCCAGCTAAATATTTGAGGTCTAGCATATCACAAGAATATCTTCCATAGCCCCCCAGAAATATACTATTAATTCATTAAATTAAAATCCATCCCCATCTAAACATCAAAAACATAGATATAAATAAACATATTGGTAATATAAAATGATAATAATCAAGAAAATATTTTACATTATTGTTTGTTATAGAGAAATGCAGCCTATATATGTACAATTATTTTTTTCTTTTTAAATATAGTAGGTGTGGCTTATATTCAGGTGCGTTCAATAGTCCGGAAATGACAGTATATTTAAAAATATATTTTATTAAAATCCAAAAGTTAATCTTCATCACACCACACAGTAACATCATCATCATCAGCATCACCAACAGCGCGGTTGAGCACTCAAAAGTTGCTTACTCGTAACTTGGAATACTCATATTTCGGGGAGCTCATATCTACGGGCACCACTGTAGTTTTTTTTGTTGTTTTGTTTTTTAAAGATTGTGTAGTTTATGGCTGCAGTACCTTATCGTTAAATATTGTTTATTTTAGATAGACCATCTGATTTGTTTAAAAAAAAAACATTTCTGGGGGCTATAAGAGAAATAAGTATTATAATTTACTTAATCAGTGTCAGTGAGAATCATTTATAAACCAGACCCTGCTGGTCAGCAATAAAACTGAAACTGGGTGAGATTTTATGAAGTCTATCTCACACTATTTATGGCTTTCTGCAATCATTTTGAACGTTACGTTAGAAACATTTTACAGCCTCTCTCTCCACATCAACCTTTGGTGCTGTTGAAAAACAATGACATGAGAAGAATGTAATGTCTAGCGTTTTATTATCCATTATCCACCCATTTTATTGCCTTGGGTAAATATGATAACAGCCATAATGAACTGCAGTAACAGCAAGGCGGACCTGTAATTTTGAGAATCAAAACCTGGCTTAGAAAAAACACCCACGTAAAAACTGCTGCACAGACAAAAGCAACACTTCTTTCCTCTTTAAACTGTTTCCTAACAGGAAATCATGTTTTCAGTAACTGTTTTCTTCAGTGTTGTTCCTTTCAGGAGGTTTTTTCGAAAGTGTTTCTAAATTTCTTTTTTAAATATAGTTTCACATCTTGATGAATGTAAGTTTACATAGTAAATCAATCATTATTTTTCATTACAAAAGAAACAAAAATATGTAACTATTTTTCTGTAATTATAAGCAGTTTTTTTCATTATTATTCTTTTTCAATCTTTTTATTCTTTAGAAAAACAATCATCATTGTGCTGATTATCACTAATAACTACCAGTTTATTAATAGAACTCATGGTCATTAGGTAAATATTATGACTGGTGAACTCTACCCTGCTCTTGCCCATCGACTGCTGGACGTCTGAGCGGTCAAAATGACCATTATGGTTGCTCTCGTAATTAAGTAACATGAGGTAGTTCAAGCAATTAAAAAAAAAAGTGTGGCCAGAAAGATCCACTAGGTGGCGTGTTTGATACCAGAAGCGTCGCAACCTCCCAGCAAAAGTACATTGTGTCTCCCGTTATGTCTTTTACGACACTGAAATTACAGCCTGGGTTGTAAAAGTCATATTGAAATTGGTCTTTAACGGCGTCATGGAGCCAGGTGATCACAACAAGTAAAATATTAACAACTGGAGAAAAGCCACTTGACTGTATAAAACATTTGAATCTGGATGATCCCTGCATTTACATATTTCCTGTTCAAATACATGGGAGAATGATGAGGTGTGGCAGCAATACAGTTCCCCTTGAAGGAACGGTTGTAAGTGGGAGACTACAGATGTAATTACTCCATAACATATTAATAAATGTTTCTACAATTGATTATTATTTACTTAAGTTACAAATATTGCTCACTACTGTGTAGCCACTCAGGTGCACTGAGCATGACACCGCTCCCTGGGATCACATTCTGCGGTGTGCTGAGTCATACTGATAATAAATCACTTTGACTTTAACTAAGAGTTTACTGTTTGTGGTGCAAAAAAAAAAAAAAAAGTAACATAACGCGTAACGTGTAAATACACAAAAACATATGTGCACATGTTAGCCTAGAATAGATTAAAAAAAACAGAAATTGCATTATTTTCAACACTGATGTTGGTTCTGAGCACTCTAAGTACATTTGAGTCATGTCAGAACTTGAGAAGAACACAGAAAACTATTCTCCCGAGGCCTTCATCTCTTGAACTGCGGAAAGAATGTAGACCAGTTGAGTGCCAGGAGCAATGGGAGCGTGTGCTGCCGCAGCAATAAAAAAAAAAAATGCTGGGTCATTGCCAAAATCATGACGTTGCGCTCTGTCAGAGGTTTCCAAACAACATCTCCTAAATAACCAGAACATTTGTCATCTGCGTCTGTGAGTAGGGAAGGCTAGAGGGAGGAGGAGAGACTGAGAGATTCATGAGAGAGAGCTGGTGACAAGCAGAGAAACGAGCAGAGCACAGTGTCTTAGTGATGAAGTTTGGCTTGGATGTAGTGTGGAAACAGTGTTTTTCGCTAAGGACTTAATGAGTTTTGAAAATCCTGCCGTTACCTTGAGCCAACCAGATCTGGATTCGTGAGTCATAGTGAGTGGCCCCGCTGTTTGTTTTCATGCTGTACTCGTTGTACTGTTGTTGCATCATGTACTTCGTACTTGTTCAAGTACATACAGACCTATGTGTCGACCTGGATTACTTGTGTTCATTTATTCTATCTCTATCTATCTGTGTTGTTTCAGCCATGGCTCTAAAATCTAACCTGGGAAATCTTCTCCTCTACTTTGGATTGTATGGGATCTGTACAGGATTTCTACAAGGTGAGCTGAGTCACATCTGAACACAAACACAACACCTTAACTGACCTTTGCCTACTGTGGCTAATGGAACCATAACTCTTTATTTATATTTGTTACTGTAGTCAAACAAAACTGCCTAAAGATGATTTTAAAGCTTTACTATAGGTAAAACCCTATTAACATGATTAATTGGTGTTAAAATATTATGACTATCGTTTCCCTAATTGGAAAATGTCCAGCTCAGCTTCTGAGCTGGACACATCTCTCACTTTCCTGTCGGTAAATGGAAGTGTTTGTCAAGCAACCGCAGTGTTGCTGAGTTACAGACCAGACTTTTTTTAGGTAAGCATAAAGTTACTTTTAGAAAAAAAAAAAAAAAACTCCAAGGTAGGAAAACATGTTCATGGTTAGCAAGAAATATGGCCCACAAAGACAAATCTCTTAAAATATCTTAAATTTGGTCAACTTCTGCTCAACTGCTCAGCCACCAGCTACTAGAGGCTAAATTAGGGCTAGCCAATAACAGACAGCACCACAACAATTTAAAAAAACAACAAGCCAAAGTTAAGTAAAAACAGAAATATGCTAAATTAAGCTTATATTTTATATAATAATATAATTGTATTTAATAAAAAGAGGTAAAATAAGAAGTGAGGCAGAAGGGAAACAAAGTCAAGTCATTTTTGTGTATGTTAGTGTTATGTTTCAGTTCAATAAGGCACCACTGCATATGTACAAATACAGTGTGGACATAGATCCATATGCTTTGTATAAATTGCATTATAAACCATGTGCATACACATAGATTTGAGCAAAAATTAACTTACCAGGATGCAATTTGCAGGATAGATGTGTCCTTGAACATTTTCTAAAATGACAACAATGTTTTATTTCCATCTTGTGGCCAATGTTGTAATTGCAGCAATACGCGTCAGGCGATGGGCTCGAAATTATTTACTTTATTGACGTAAAAAGCTCACGCATATTCAACTTTGTAATGCAGAAATTTGGTTGAGGAAATGTATTAGCGGTAAATAAATAGAACAGAATCCATCTAACATTATTTTACTTGTTGGGATGATTCAGTTAGAATATCTGCTTTGAAGTCATGCATATTCAATCATCATTCACAGCAGATAAAGAGATATATTTTCCTACTCTTAAGACAAAGTGAGTTCAAATACAAAATGTAATTTGAGTATTAAAATGTCTGTACTGTATTTTCAATGGGTTGAAATCCTATAGGATAGCAATCCTATAAAATTCAGGTTAAGTTTAGATTAAGTTGAAGTTGAGTTTCATAGCTGAAAATTGAAAACAAAAAAAACCCATTTATTTAACAGGTAAATGGTATGTAAAAATCTTTTAAAATATATATATTTTGAATATATTTTATATTTTATGTGTTAAGTGTACCATATATAAAGGTCAGGAGTAAATAGATGACTTTACTCATGTAAAAGTCATACATAACGGCTAAAATGCTAAAATGGTTTTATCGTTTTATACGCCATCTATTGGGAAAATATGGGTATTGCAGGAAAAGGCAGAACTATAATGATAATATAAATAAGTGTCAAACATAACGGCTGGAGCTGAGAAGAAAGCGGAAGTAACAGAGAAAAAAAAAAAGAATCACAAGAAGAATTGAAGGCTCTCGACATTATCCGAGAAGAACCAGATCCAATAACGAATAGCCCAATTCAAGCTGTAAAGAAACCTGAATCGGCTGGAGGGGGTTGGCAATCTGTGATGAACTTCAACGAACTCAATTGACGCACCATATCGAACGGAGCCAGCCTAATAAATCCCCAAGGTGTATTTAAGATGTTGAAAGTCAAGAAAGTCCTGCATCAAACTAGCAAATTGATTTTTCCCCCTTAGCCTAGAATGTAAATCTCAGGGAAAAACCGTGTTCAGCCACAAAGGCAAATCGTACAAAAGAATCCTAGATGAAAACACGGTGAAAATGAAAAAGAAAGGAATCCAGAAATTGGTTCCCCAAAACCTTCAAACAGGCCTCTCCTCCTTTGGACGCCGGGACTAAGGCCGCCCTAAACATCACCAGAGAAGCACTTGTGGAGAATCGTTCATAGGTTGCCAAGGAACCCTGGAGATAGTCAGAAGCTGGACGAGTCACCTCTCCCATCGGTTTAATCAGACCCCTAGAAACCCTAAAGAACCGCCAGGTAGCCCGTGGTCACCCACTCAAAGGCTACAGGTCCTAACCCCTTAGAAGGAGAGCCGATCAGGAATGGAACACCAGTACCGTTGTGCTATGCCTGGGATTTAACAGTGTGTTTTCTTACATGTCTATGTGTTTTTCTTAATAAGTGACTAATCAATTCTCTACTGTTGTTGATTTTATCACCTCCAGAGAACTGCACCAACTACATGCAGCAGTTTGAAAGGGTTTACTCTGTTCCTGGAGATGCAGCGATGCTCAACAGCACTTTGGTGTCTCCGGACGTCTTCAACTACACCAGTGTCCCATACAACATCACCTGGTACAACTTACAGACTGGACAAGAAATAAACAGCCAGAGGGGCCGGGTCCTCGTGATGGGGGAGACCCTGTGGTTGCTTAATTTAACATTAGCAGATGACGGAGAATACCTGGTCATACTAAGGTACATGGCTCAAAATTATTGCAATGCAGCTTTTATGTTGTCCTTGTTTAGGGGTGTTACAGTACAGGTAAAGGTTCAGTTGTAAAAATATATATAAAAAAGGACTTTTTGTATAACAAAAAAATGTTGAACTGAACTGTGGATTCTGTGTTCGTTGCATCCTCTATCTATCTATGTAACACCAACATCAGATGTATTTCCGACGTCCTGATCTTTAATGTTTCACCTGTTGCCTTTCAATTTTTAGAACACCTGTCAGGTGCTACCAGCAGTCCATCATACTGGTGGTTGACCTTCCATCCCCTGGATTGTGTGGAAAACCACGAAAGATCGATCAAATCCTAACAAAGGGAGTCAGCAACAAGCTGTCCTGCCCTCTGAAGGATTACATAAATAAACTCAACAGTTACAACATCAGCTCCACCCTCAGGTGGTACAGGGTGAGTTATGGCAAATTGCTCTATTTTTCATGTTGAACTTTATCTTTACAAAAAATCCACATCTTCCTGGTTCATCTTCATATTTCAGGGCTGTGACATCATCAACAATACAGAGAAGTACATCTACAAGGATAAGACCAAACTGCTGATCAAAGGGGTGGATTCTGAAAACCACCATTCCTACACCTGCACCCTCTCCTTCAACCTAGGAGGGGGCATGGGGTCGGTGTCAGAAACGATAGATGCTGTGGTCAGAGGTAAAAAAAAAAAAAAAGAGAGAGGAAATTACTGAAACATGTAACACAAAGGGATAGTTAAGAGAGGGTTGATGTACTGTAATGCCACCTAACCCACCCAACATTAACTATCTCGGCCTTTTCAGAGGAGTACTTCATGGTTCCACAAGTACGTGAACCAACTAATACTGCATTTAAGGTACACGTTGGTAAGTTTTCACCTTTTTAAACACCTTTGGACAATGCAAAATCCATGTCGCAAACATTACATTTAAATGCAGAATTTTATGATAATTTCATATGAAGTACACACTGATCACAAACAACACATTAAGATGTCACTGCAAGTACATTAAGTTCTTCTCTCTGTGTCTAGGCTCCAGTTTTAGTCAGCGGTGTAGAGTTTTTGTACCAGGTGTTGGACTTCCCTTTGTTGACATCATTTGGTTTGCTGATTACAAGTACATCGCCTCCAGAAATCCTTCGGACCGCATTTACACGACCCAACAACCGTCAGTTCTGTTCCTCTTCTAATCAGTTTTCCCTGTGTGAGATACAACGGTGTTATTTGATCCCTCCATTCTCCACAGGCTTCAGAACCAATATGGTCTCCAGAAAGGTGTGTGGTTGGAGGTACTGCTGACGTTTAAGGAGACCAGAGAGGAAGATTTTTTCATTAACTACACCTGCCAAGCGCAGAGTTCTCGTGGACATCCTCAAGCCTATTTTACACTGTTACCAGAAGGTAGGAAAAAAACATTACTGCAGTAGTCGTACAGAGGTCCCCAACCGTTTTTGTATGGACTGGTTTCATGTAAGACAATATTTCGCCAAACCATGTTATGCAGAGAGGCTTTTGACATGTAGCTTTATGTTGGACTATATCAATATATATATATTTTACAGACTTTTGTCTTGACAAGAATCTTGACCTGCGAAGAGGCAATTGTCATTCAAAGAGAACTCTTGAACTCAATCAATCAAATCAAATATTCAATCATTCTTTAAATTGCAAGGTTGGGAGTGGGGTGGGATGCTGGAACCAATCCCAGTAGTCAACAGGCAAGGGCAGGCTACATCCTGGACAGTTAGCCAATCCATCACAGCACAAAAGTGTGTAATTTCATTGACCCACTGCATGGTACTTGTCCAAGGCCTGGTGGTTGGGGACCTGTGGCTGAGTGGTTGTTTGACCTTACAAAAAAACCCCATTTATTCTGACTGTATGCGTGTCTCCACAGATCCTGATGTCCTGCTGCCCATAGGCGCCGTGTTCAGTTGTCTGACGTTTCTCTTTATCATCAGCATCAGCATTTACTATCTTTACAAAGTGGATATAGTGCTGTGGTTCAGGAGTGTGTTTCCAGTCTTCTACACAAATACAGGTTACAGTCACACACTTTCCAGATAATTTGTTCTTTATCATCAGCATCAGCATTTACTATCTTTACAAAGTGGATATAGTGCTGTGGTTCAGGAGTGTGTTTCCAGTCTTCTACACAAATACAGGTTACAGTCACACACTTTCCAGCATCAGACAATTTGTTAAACCACCAAAAAGAATTTTTCGCAAAGACACAGTGTGTACAATTTGTCATGTAGATATAGGTTGATAATGTGAATAACTCTTAGGGATGGACTTTCTCAAATGGACTTTCACTGATGTTTTGACCAGGGACGTCTAGGAGCTTGCTTGCTAATAGCAAAACAAAGAAGAAAAGAAAAATAGTGGCAAAGATGCGATATAGTGTTTAGAGATGTCTTCAAACCAAGTCCTCTCATAAATCAGAATTTCTGAAAGGAAGTGGCAGTCCTTATGCGTGCAATTGAGGTTCATCTCTACCTGCTGACTGTCACAAAACAGACAAAATGTCATCATAGGTCAAAACTCATCCTGCCTTGATGAAAAATACCCACATCAGTCAGTTGTATTGACATATTAGCAGGTGTGAAATACAGTAAAGGTGAAACCACCGTCTAAAGCTGGGCCTCAATTGAAATGCACAGAAACAAAGGAAATAAACCAACCACAGAGCCACCTGCACTCGTCCTTACCTAACTTCAGTCAACTGTGTCTGATGTCAACTATGAATACGGCGAGAAAGATCAGCTTCTGGTGACTTAACCTGCAGTATTGTCTTGTGTTTAGATTCAGATGGGAAACTGTACGATGCCTACGTGGCCTACCCACAACCTTCTGCCACTGGATACAATGAGGAAGTGGAGGCATTTGCTCTTCAGACTCTGCCTGAGGTGTTAGAAAGGAGCTGTGGGTATAAACTCTTCATAGCAGGCCGCGACTGTCTGCCTGGGGAGGGTAAGTCACTCACATGGGTTTTATTAGTTTAACGTTTAGTGACAGTGTACACAGGCTCCTTGACTTGCATCAGAGTTCCGTTCCTCTGGTGCATTGTATCTCAATTTTTGCCATAAGTCGGAACTCGCATACCGTCCATAAGTACCTATGTCACTCACCTATGCTAACACAGTGGTAACATCATAATCTAGGACATAAAAACACCAGACGAGTCTGACTTACACCTGGGAGTCATAATGATGGTCAAAAAGTTTCCAAAAAAACAACACAAATGAAACATAGCCAATGTAGCACAAGCCAATGTATGACGTACAAACGACTAATGTAAATGAACCCGTCTTCCACATATAGTGCCGCGTGATGACAATTGTCCACGCCACTCACCAATTAAATGTCATGCGAACTAGTTAGCGAGTTTTAGCGCTCAGATCAGATTGTAATTTCTGTTGTTCAATAACAATATCATTTATCTCATATCGCCCCCTTCTGGTGAATTTGCATCACCTACTGTTATTTAATCTATATTGTAAAGATGTAATGTAAAAAAAAATTTAAAAAAATCACAAATCTGAACGTACTTGGATGGATCAGAAATATTGTTGCTGTCACATTTCTCAATCTGGTCCCATTCTTTTAAATGTAAATCAAGTGTCTCTCTTCCATTGTCTTCCTGCAGCCATGGTGGACTCGGTGGAAGAGAATATTCAGGCCAGCCGCTGCCTCCTCCTGCTCTACTCTGCCTCCACTTTCCCCAGCAAAACACACACAAGCAGCACAAGCAGCACCGGCAGCAGCAACAACAACAACCACCCTAAGAATTATATCATTGAAGAAAGCGATGAAAGCAAAAGTGTTGACGTCAGAAGCAGCAGAAGCAGCAGCAGCGTGGTTTTTAACAGTGATGCTGATGAAGTCCACTCAGACAGCAGGCAGCAGATGGAGTGTCTGGCAGCAATGCACAGATCATTGCTGGAAGGATCGCTAAAGGTCGGAGCCACTCTTAATTACACACCATCATTGTTCAATTAATCGTCTGTTCATCCTTATCAGATGGTTTTTCCATACACAGAGTGGGAAAATAAAAAAAGATTTTAATGCCAGTGTGTTCCATGACAGGTTGTCCTGGTGGAGCTGGAGGAGATCACCCCAGCTCAGCTGGCTCTCTTTCCAGAGTCAGTGCGTCACCTGAGGAAAAAACAGGGCGCAGTGTGTTGGTGGAAGGAGAGGAGGGCGAAGAAAAGGTGGAGCAGGTGTGGCTCAAAGACTGGGAATGTGGAGCAGGACTCAAAGGCATCTCCGTCCGTCTCCCCTTCCTCCATGTTCTGGAAGGAGATCCGGTATCACATGCCGGTGAGGGGGAAGAGAGTCGCGTACCCAGAGAAGACAGCTTTGTTGAACCTATGATGAGCATTTACTGTGAATATCTAAGTTAAGGAGCTGTTTCCAGTGCATATGTGTGGTCAGGAAGTCTCTCCTGCACAGGAAAGTCTGTCATGTTGCAAGTTAGCTGTGCAGAGATGTGACTACGGCTGATGACCACTCAAAGATTGTGTCCTGCGGTTGGTGTGAATTCCGTGGTGGCAGAATGAAGGCAACGGCCGCACGTGGAGGACACTTAGTCAAGGAGAGAAGCGTGGATATTGTGTTTCAACCACGAGTGATAATCAGTCATTAACTTATCTTCCAGATCCAGAAGTGAAGCTAATGTCTGTAAAAGTTCTCAGTCATCCATGACCATTTTTTTTTGAGAAGATCACAGATTTCCTCCGTCCCTTTAAGAGACACTGCTGTCTCTTAAATGACCACAAGATGGCAACACCAATGCTATTCTGTATAGTTTGTCATGAAAACGTTTTTTTTTTCTTTAAAAAGCCCAGATGCTGCACAACAGGGAAGAAAATGTCATTTTAAAGAAAAATAATCTTAAAAAAAATATGTTTATTAATATGTTTCCTTCAGGGACATTTCAATTGCTGTTACTTTTTCTGACTCTTCTCACTAATCTTTTAAGATTGCTGCTTAACATTCTATTTACAATTATTTTTCTTTTTTTTCTTCCTAACATTTACAACTGTGCATGCGACTAGTTCTATCAAATTTGAGCTAATCGTACCTTATTTTGCTTTTTCTAGTTATTTCACTTCATTAATCTAACTTTACTCCAAACAGGCATTTCAAAATTAATTAAATTTAATTCAGGGGCAATTACAGCACCACATCAATTTTTTTTCCATGTAACAAGCAAACATATGTTTAAATCAGGCATGGGCAACCTAAGGTCCAGGGGTTCACAATAGATGGCGTAGAAAATGATAGAAGGATTTTAGCATTTTAGCATTTATGCATGACTTTTACATGTCATTTACCTTATCTGAGTCAAAATGTTGAATGAATACCATGACATGCTGAAGCCAAAGACATTTCACTGTTTCACTACTGGAGCCTAGCTGTACCTCTTCTCTATGGGTCATTAAAAATGTTTATCATGAGGACTCTGAACGGTCACGTTGTTTATGTATTTTCACTGAAAAACTGTAACAAAAAAACTGGGTGTTTACACTGCTGAAGAAGAACATGCTGCCCTCGTTGCTCTGCACAAAAGTAAAACGTTATCATTAGATGGAATTATGTGGGTAAAAAAAGAATAAAACTAATTTTCAGTACCACAAGATCTGTTTTCTATAAATAACATTTCATAATGACACAAGACCACATTTAGCTTATCATGTAAATACAGAGTACATGTGTATTTTAGACTCTACTTGTGTTTTATTTCTTAGTAAATGTTACTTCTAAACTGTTCTGTTCTAATCTGCTCATTTCATCACATCATGTAAAATACATTTAGTTTATCAGTGTAACAGAGGGAAGGGAACAATCCAGTGTTTTTCAAAACTGTGGGGTCGCCTGAAATGTCTAGTAATTTATTATTATTTTGAACTAAATTTCTTTTTAATTATGTTCAAAAACACACAACGAGTTCAATTAAAATGCAGCATACAAAAATGTCATGCATGTGTGATCTTAACAATGTGTCATTTGTTTTTCTTCTTTCGTCTTTAATAGTATGTTAAAAAGAGGATTTTTTTATTTTTTTTTTTATTTTTGCCCCGCTATTAATAATCCCACTTTCGCTATTACTTCTGAAAAAAACATGGTTTGGTGGCCTACTTATTTAAACCACAGTTGGGGTTGCTACCTATATACAAGATGGGTGGTAGTTTCAGCTTGAATTTCATGCAAAGGTTAGCAGAACATACATAAATTGAGGTGCAGTCGGAAAACCCAGGACCAGTCAGAGGCTCAGTGCAGTCAAGGAAGTCAACTGTTGAGCTTCAGCAGCTTTTCATTCAGGGTAAGTTGCTAACAATCAAAGAAATATAACATCTTTTCAACTTTTGTATCTATTTTAATTTTTTTTTTTTTTTTACAACGCTGTTTAATTTAAAGCTATTATACAGTAGGTCTTTAAGTTTAAAGTTTTTGCATTGTTTTCATATAATCAGATAGCCTTTATTGTCATTGTCATTTGTATAACAACATAAATACGTTGGGTAGACTCAGTTTCCAAAAAAACTTCTAATAAATTCAAATAGAATAATATAAAAGTAGAAAAACTGCAAACAAATAATTTAAAAGAACATAATAGATTAAAATAGCATAATATAGAAATATAAAAACTGCAATAAATATGGACTCTCTATCTATCTATCTAGGGATAATGGTAAATGGTTAAACTTCCAATTAATCTTAAGATATGTGTTTCTTAGAAATGTTTGGAACAGTGACATGCGGTGAGGATCATGGTTGGTGAGGCACTGCCTCCTCTGGAGACAGATTTACAGTTGTAAAAACCAAAAAGAGCATCTTATTTAATTGTTCAACCAACAGCATTCAACTGGTAACGCTTCATATCCATCAGCGTTCCTCTTTCAATGACACTGACACCAACACAAACATATAGACAGGAACATATCTGTCCTATAAAGAACATTACTTTTATAGAAATGGACAGAGCACCCTTCTTGTGTCTAAGAAATTCAAATTTACTGTAAACAAATTTAAAAAGTACAGAGATGAGTGCAGCACAGATTTAATTTTGACCTTCAGACGCCCACTGCTGACTTTTGTCTGCACTTTCGTGGAAGGTCAGGAAGGAAAACTGACGCGCACAGACATTAAAGAAATTCTGCGTCAGTGGTTGGTTCAGTGAGGACCACACTGAAGGCCTAGGAAGCATTCCAGTGATAGAGTCAAGTGTTGCTTCACTCATCGTGTCTCCTGACGAGGCACTTCGTGAAGGTGTGCATTGTCCTCACATTGAGTGCCGCCGCACAGACGAGCTGCTCTCCCGTGCCATCGCACCGGAGCGCACTAACACCCAACCATCTTCCATCCATCTTCTTCAGACGCCTTTCATTTTCGTAACCTCGCCTTTTCAGCTCCACCTGACAGAAACGTGGTTAAATAATGCCCATGATCCAAACGGCCCAAACCGAGATAGTTGGAGTCAGAGTAGAAGACGCAGAGAACAGGGAGATATGGAAATCAATGATTCGCTGTGGCAACCCCTGAAAAAAAAAGGGACAAAGCCGAAAGAAACAGAAGAAGATCACATCTGCCTCACACACAGAAAGTCCTGTGTTCAAGCTCCACGGAAACCACAGCCTGCACCAGCCTGGTGAGCACTGAATTTCCCCACTGTGGGAAAAAAAAATCAGTAGGAAAACAAAATCTTAGTGGTTTGTCTTTCAACGGTAAGCTGTAGAAACGGAGGAGAGACTACTTCCTGGCCACGCTAGATATGAGATTGTTTTTGACTAATGAGGCGGTTTCAGAGGTAAATATTTTCTAATTTTCACACTCAAACCCACACACTCTCAACTCACTACTCGTCATAGGTTTACAAAACAGCCAAACATTTCAGTTACTTTGGTTTTTAAAATTACTACAGGGTGATGAAGTCCCAGCACCTAAAAACTGAACCACAGAAAGTCCCCCAGAGTAGGGGAGGAATAGTTGGTTCAAGTTATGCGTTTTTGACACGTGATAAAGACTACACTGCGGTTCAAGTTTTAGCTTCAGCTTCCTGTTGGAGATGTGAACCTCTGTTGTTGTGGTTGTGTTGTAGAGAAGAACGGGGCTGACGATGAAAATTCAGTGGTTAAAGAAAATGCTCTCTTTTGACAAGAAACAGACATTATTCAGCTTTCCAATACACTTATCTTAACGCAATCTTAAGAATTATATAAATACTATGAGAGAAAAAGGAGTTTCAGTGCAATTCATTCAAGAAAAGCATCACAATTGAACCACAACAGTCTTGAATCTCACAATTACAAAAGATGTGTACATAGCTGTTGTTAAAAAATGACTGGTTAGTTGTGCAGTTAGGAAGTGCAATGTCTGTCCTATTTTTTTTTTTTTTTCAGAAAATTTAATTTGCACTTGTTTTAATAAATAGATAAATACAGATTTCAAAAGCATACCCGATCTGAGTAAATACATTATTACTCTATGGTTAAAAAAGACGAAGTTGAAGCTGCAGGACCTTGGAGTTGACTTGGGACTTGACTTAAGACTTGTTAGTCTTGATTTTGGACTCAGTTTAAGACTTTTTTTCAGGCTACTTTAGTTGTATATTTTCGAAGCCTCTGTTGTTGTTGTTGTTGTTGCCTTGTGCGGTACTTATTGTGTCTTTTAGAAGTCTAGGTGGACCGATTCCTAGAAGTTAGATGTAAACCGTTGGTTTCATTGCAGCGTCATGGTGATAAGCTATATTGAGACTCTCTCAAGGGTTTTGTTTTGTTTTTAAATACTAGGTTGAGAGACCCTCAGCTATTCCATCAAATACAGTTGACAGTTTGTGATGTCAATTGTAAAAAAAACAAACATTTTTAACAATAAAATAACTGAGAAAAAAAAAAAAACATAAAATAAAACAAAATAACTGAAGCGATGGTTGACGGTTCTTATCTTATCGCACAATTTTTTCTTTCCTGTTGAGCCACAGAAAGGAAACCAAATGGTTTACGCAAGTGTTTTTCATCTTGATGTCAGTTAGAAGCTCTTCTAAACAGGGGTGGGGAATGGTGGGTGAGGTAGAAGGGTGGATGGGGAAGGAGGGTCACGTCTCGAAGCATTTAGGTCAGGTTTTCTCTGTCACATCTCCTACTTCTGCAGTGGAAACAAGTCACAGATTTCCCATCTTCCTTTGCCTCTGCGGTTGTCGTCTCTGGTTTTCCCCGAAGTGAGTGAATTTTTTTCTGCTTATCTTGACATGGGGTTTACGTTCTGTCTCATTTTTTTCGGATTAGAACTTTCACGTTTATTTAGCTTTCACCTGAGTATGTGTCGAATATTTATATTGCGAAGCAAACGGTGCGTCAATAAGACAACCTCCGTTGGAATAAACACTGAACCAATTCAAATACACGGCGAGCTTTTATCCGAGTATGAAGCATAAGTAGAACTACTGATGTAATATCCTTCAACTGTTGCAGCAGAAAAAAAACAATCTTTTCATACTCAAAGGGTCTGAAGGTAGAAATGGTTGGATTAAAAAGTAGGCCGAAAAAAAACTAAGATTTAAAAGAAAAATCGGAAAAAGTCCATGAGTATCTGTAAGACTGGTGTTATATACCAAACAAACAAACGAAAAACTATCCTAAAGATAAAACTTTGTCAAACAAGAATGTGTTTATCCCCAAAATGGCTAAATTTAGGGTAAAACACAGCAAAGCCAAGAAAATTCATAGTTTGATTAACCTAAAAAACAGATAGCCCAAAACAAACTGCTACTAAAATTATAGATTATTAAACACTCACTTTTCATCTTAAGGGTCATTTGTTTTGTCATATTTGCGGATATTCCCACTCTTAAGGTCCAGTAGATCAAGTAGATTTCTACTCTCTCTCCTCTCTTTATTTCCATGGACTGTTCCCAAGGACTGCTAAAAAAAACATTGTTCCGATGCTGATGACCATCCGAGAAGAAAAACTAGAGCACTGATGCGCTTCCTCATTGACTTTGTATGTGTTTATTTCTTTTATTCAGCACTAAAATGCGGTCACACTCTTTTATGACTCGTGCAGGAAACATAAGTCAAACAAATAAAGATCATTTTGTGCAGACCTTTAGCTCTTCCACAATTCTGTCTCACTGTTTCTGACTCTGACTATCATGTAGGTTGTTAATGTCAGAAGTATCCGGACGGATACGTAATTCAAATATCTATACGTGCACATTGGCAGGTTGAGAAACCTGATGCTATACAACAGTGGTCGACAACGTCATTAGTTTGTGTTGGATGAGCTACAATCAACCCAGTCACTTATTTGTTGAGACTTGACTTGACAAGAGTGTTGTCCTAATTTGATCTGAACTGAACCATGGAAGCAGAGCTACTCAGAAAAACTGCAAAGGAGAGACGCAACAGTTATTACATCATTTACATATATAGACATAGCAGGAGAAAGGAAAGGCATGATATTGAGTGTTTATATAAAAACAGAGCCTTACTGATAAAAATGACAAAACTTAAGCTGACATTGGCCTGGCCCATATGAAAGAAATAATGCAGTATTTACACCTAATGAAATAAACAAATAAATCCTGTAAATCAAATCACAACACGACCTTTGAGCCATTTGGACCGTCTCCCATAGAAGAAAACACCCGGAGCCACAAAACCCTTTTAACTCAATACTATGTATAAAAAAAAACTATAGTGTGTTGCATTTATGAGATCAACAAACTGCTGCAGAGGAAAAATGTATGCTTACTTTCACATAAAATATTTGGGTCCTCGTCATATTTAGGAAATACAAATCCAAACTTAAATTGTCCACCCTCAGCAAACCAAAATGCAAACCATCATTTCATCTGGAGCGTGCAATCAGCTGTACATATGCAAAACAATAGCCAATTAAAATATTTATCTTACCTGGATGATGTGATTTTTGCTCCAGGGCTGTCAGGCGTCACCTCCATCTTCACTGTAAGCTGTCGTCTGTGAGGCGTGAGCGATGTTTGTTAATATAGTTCAGGTGGGAGAATATCTGCTCACATACTGTATTCGAAGATTGTCACGACCCCAGATGCAGTCCTTTTTCATGTTCACGAAAGTCTCGGGGATGGAATTCCATGGTTCGACCACTAGTTTGTCCGGTTTGGGAAGGTTTTCGACATCACTCCATTTGCAATTCTGAGCAAGCACGAACCAGTCACACCTGCGGGGAAAGCAAAACATCAACAAACAAATCAGTTCACGTAGCATTAACCATTCTGTTTCCTTCAGAAACTTTTCTTTTCTTAGATTTATCCATCATTTACCTACCAGGGATCAAAAATAAATCATTCATTTATTATCAATTATTCACGCTGGTACTATAGATTTCCGACTAGACCACGCTGCCAGATTTGTGCCAGGTGTCGCACATCGGCGGATGTCACGCATATTTTCAGCGACAAAAACATATTTTCTAAAATAAATTATTTACAAGATTACTATTATCTTCAAATAAAGTATTATCTTAAAAAAAACCCAACTAAAATAAAAAATAAATTAATTAAATACTTATTATTTATAATCCAAAGTCACGGGGAGCCACAAAGGAAACAAATCATCAGCTAAACCAGGCGTGGGCAAACTTTTCACGGGCCGCAATTGGTCCGAAAATTGAACAGGTCGGCCGGGTTAGGAGCAGATAGATGGAGCGTTCGTGTGAACTAAGATAAATGACATGTAAAAGTCATACAAAAATGCTAAAATGCTTTTATCATTTTCTACGCCATCTATTGGGGAAACGTGGGTATTGCAGGGAAAAGACGGAAGTATAATAATAATAATATAAATACATTATGTAATTTGGAAAGGTTTGGCGGACCGGATTAAAAAGCTGAACGGGCCGCATCCAATCCCCAGAGCTTAGTTTACTCCTTCCTGCTAGCTGATGCTTTGTTTCCTTTAGGCTTTGAAGGGTTTGATTATTATTATTATTAAATGGTTAGATTAGCAAGGTAATTAGGCAAATATTTTAGGATCTAAAATTTAAGGGATTCAAAACTATAGAAGAAATCATTTAGAAATTTAAAAAATAATACTTCATACAGCAAGAAAGATCGCAGGAGGGTGATTAGAAAAAAGGTGTTGGAATTCCTGATCAACCTCATAAGTCCAACAGTCAATAGTTTATCATGAGGCTGACTAAATTCACAACCAGTAATGAGTCAGAGTACTTCTGAAACCATATCATTGTCCCACATTTCCCAGCAACCACAGCACTCGCACTGTCTCCACCAGACTTCCACCCACACATTAGCAATGGTTTGCTCAGCCTTTCACTTTCTCGACGGCTAAAAAAAATCCTCCCGGGCAACTTACCGTAGCACTCTGTTAACCATTCCTTCATAAGGCTTTCCATCATCCACCATTTCTTGTTAATTTTAACCACTATGTCCTCCTTTGATATCTTCAATATTAATTTTGCAGGCGATTGCTTTGGCTTTCAGTCGGATCTGTACGGTGGATACACCTCGGCCGCCTGCTCTCTATGTGTTCAGGCCACCCGCTTTTATGTCCTCTGAAAGCCTTTGTCGTCTACATTCCCTTGGTGGTCCTCCTCCCACCCTTGGCCACCACTTACTGAAGCCAAGTTGTAAGTTGGGGCTTCAAGATATAAGTTTGATCCATTCCGCACTCGTATGTCTATCTGCTCCTATCTTGATCAACTTTTCCCCATTAAAAATAACTAAAAACCAATTGTTTCGTTCCAGCCCCAAAAATATACTATTAATTAATTAAATTAATCCCCCCATCTCAACATCAACAACATAGATATAAACAAATATATTGAAAATGTTTAACCATTAAGAAAACATTTTATATTATTGTTATAAAAATGTGTAAAAAAAAACCCAGCGAGGGACAGTGAGCGAGAAAGTGTGTCGAGGCCACTAAGGTCGTAGAAGGATTACCGTAATTTCCGGACTATAAGCTGCTTCTTATTATTACTTTTTTCATGCTTTGAACACTGCGGCTTAAACAATGATCGGTGTTCATATCACTAGCAATCAATGTCTTTTCTGGTAGGCTACTGGGTGTTATACTAGTAGCTTAAGTCTGTCTTTAAACTGGCTGTATGTGTGGGGCGCGTGCACGAGAGAGAACGGTAGCGGAGCAGTTTGAGCCCTGTCATGTTGAAGCGGGGGTTGGTTATACAGGAGCTGTTAAAACACTGTTCATGTTCTGTTGTGCTCGGTGTGGCTGATAATAAAGACCCCAACTTCCTGTTTCTGTTTACCTCTGCTGTGATCAAGCACAGAGTGAAGGGAGTTAGCCCCGGAGCTTATGTTAGCATCGGACATGGAGCAGGTCATTAGGTCTCCCCTGTGTATTCCAACTACGGTCGGGGCGCCGGCCGTTTGAGAATCGAAACCTGGCTTAGAAAAAACACCCACGTAAAGACAGCTGCACTGTTTCCTAACAGGAAATCAGCAGTAAGTTCTCAGTGTCTGTTCTCTTCAGTGTTGTTCCTTTCAGGAGGTTTTCAAAAGTGTTTATAAAAACATGTTGCAGATTCTCGCAAGCTGCAGGCTAAACCTAATGACAATATTTTGTCATTGTGGGGCAGAGGTGGCCTAGTGGTTAAGGAAGGGGACTCCGGCAGGGTCGCAGGTTCAAATCCCTCAGCCACTCAGGTCACATTTTGTGGTGTGCTTAGTCATATTGATAATAATCTCTTTCACTTTAACTAAGAGTTTGCGTTTACTTTTACTTGAGTCATGTCAAAAATTGAGAAGAACACAGAAAACTACTCTCCCCAAGGCCTTCATCTCTAATCCATGAACTTCAGAAGGAATGTAGACCAGTTGATGAGCATGACGTTGCGCTCTGTCAGAGGTTTCCAAACAACATCTCCTAAATTACCAGAACATTTGTCATCTGTGTGACAAGGCTAGAGGGAGGAGGAGAGACTGAGAGATTCATGAGAGAGAGCTGGTGACAAGCAGAGAAACGAGCAGAGCACAGTGTCTTAGTGATGAAGTTTGCCTTAGATATAGTGTGGATAAAAATCCTGCCGTGACCTTAAGCCAACCAGATCTGGATTTATGAGTCATAGTGAATGGCCGTACTCGTTTTTCATGCTGTACTTGTTGTACTGCTGTTGCATCATGTACTTCGTACTTGTTCAAGTACATACAGACCTATGTGTCGACCTGGATTACTTGTGTTCATTTATTCTATCTCTATCTATCTGTGTTGTTTCAGCCATGGCTCTAAAATCTAACCTGGGAAATCTTCTCCTCTACTTTGGATTGTATGGGATCTGTACAGGATTTCTACAAGGTGAGCTGAGTCACATCTGAACACAAACACAACACCTCAACTGACCTTTGCCTACTGTGGCTAATGGAACTATAACTTATTCATATGCTTTGTATAAATTGCGTTTTAAACCATGTGCCCTTACAAAGATTTATGCAAAAATATATTTACATATATAATACATTTTCTAAGAATGACAACAATGTCTTATTTCCATCTTGTGGCCAATGTTGTTATTGCAGCAACACTGCACTGTCTGGCGATTGGCTCGTAATTATTTATTTTATTGACGCAAAAAGCTCACGCATATTCAACTTTGTAATGCAGAACTTTGGTTCAGTAAAAAAATCTGAATATCTGCTTTGTAGTCAATCATCATTCACAGCAGATCTATTACTTAAGTCAAAGTGACTTCAAATACAAAATTTAGTTTGAGTTTTCAAATTTCTGTACTGTATTTTCAATGGGTTGAAACATTGAAGATGGCTCAGCCAAAAGCTAAAACCAAAAAAAAAGCTCATTATTTTTAAAGCCCAAATGAATTTCACAGAGACAGCTATATAAAGCTGTTCGGTGCAACAATGTGGAAGATTCTAATGGAAAAATCCAAATCCAAAATATAATCTCAGCACGATTCAAACCTTGAGCCACTGAATGCCACAGGACAGAAAATAATCCTATGAAATTCTGGTTAAGTTTAGTTGAAGTTGAGTTTCATAGCTGAAAGTTGTCTCGTTAAAACAAAAAAAGAAAAAGTATTTAACAGGTAAATAGTATGTAAAAAATCCTTTTAATATATATATATATATTAAATATATTTTTGTGTGCCATATATAAAGGTCAGGAGCAAATAGATGAAGTGTTAGTGTGAACTAAGATAAACAACATGTAAAAGTCATGCATGAAGGCAAAAAGCTAAAATGCTTTTATTGTTTTATACGCCATCTATTGGGGAAATGTGGGTATTGCAGGAAAAGGCAGAAGAATAATGATAATATAAATAAAGTATATAATTTGGAAAGGTTTGGCGGGCCTGATTAAAACCTAAACAGGCCTTAGTTTGGTCATGCCTAATCTAAAGGATCATTTGGAGCACAGAATCAGATAAACATTCAACAAATCTATTTTTGTGTGTGTGTGTGCGTGTTGTCAATGGGGTTGAGCTCCGTTTCTATCTTAATCACAAGCAGGTATATCATATAAGGCATAAGTAATTGAAAAAAAAAAAAAATGAAGTTTCTATATTGATCTTGAAGTAAAGGGAACTCCTTGGAGTTTGAATGTGGAAGTCATGAACATGATATTATATTATTATTATTATCATCAATCCCCAAGGTGCATTTCTTACATGTCTATGTGTTTTTCTTAATAAGTGACTAATCAATTCTCTACTGTTGTTGATTTTATCACCTCCAGAGAACTGCACCAACTACATGCAGCAGTTTGAAAGGGTTTACTCTGTTCCTGGAGATGCAGCGATGCTCAACAGCACTTTGGTGTCTCCGGACGTCTTCAACTACACCAGTGTCCCATACAACATCACCTGGTACAACTTACAGACTGGACAAGAAATAAACAGCCAGAGGGGCCGGGTCCTCGTGATGGGGGAGACCCTGTGGTTGCTTAATTTAACATTAGCAGATGACGGAGAATACCTGGTCATACTAAGGTACATGGCTCAAAATTATTGCAATGCAGCTTTTATGTTGTCCTTGTTTAGTGGTGTTACGGTACAGGTAAGCCACAGTTCAGTAGTAAAAAATATATGAAAGGACTTTTTGTATCACGAAAAAATGTTGAACTGAACTGTGGATTCTGTGTTCGTTGCATCCTCTATCTATCTATGTAACACCAACATCAGATGTATTTCCGACGTCCTGATCTTTAATGTTTCACCTGTTGCCTTTCAATTTTTAGAACACCTGTCAGGTGCTACCAGCAGTCCATCATACTGGTGGTTGACCTTCCATCCCCTGGATTGTGTGGAAAACCACGAAAGATCGATCAAATCCTAACAAAGGGAGTCAGCAACAAGCTGTCCTGCCCTCTGAAGGATTACATAAATAAACTCAACAGTTACAACATCAGCTCCACCCTCAGGTGGTACAGGGTGAGTTATGGCAAATTGCTCTATTTTTCATGTTGAACTTTATCTTTACAAAAATCCACATCTTCCTGGTTCATCTTCATATTTCAGGGCATCCTACAGACTAGTCCTGTCTACAGTGTCTGAATCCGGCCGACTCTGCCCTCAACACTGAATCAGACCGGATTAAAAAAAAAAAAGAGAGAGAGAGGAAATTACTGAAACATGTAAAACAAAGGGATAGTTAAGAGAGGGTTGATGTACTGTAATGCCACCTAACCCACCCAACATTAACTATCTCGGCCATTTCAGAGGGGTACTTCATGGTTCCACAAGTACGTGAACCAACTAATACTGCTATTAAGGTACACGTTGGTAAGTTATCACCTTTTAAAATTGTATAATTCTGTGATAATTTCATATGAAGTACAGACACTGATTACAAACAATACATTAAGATGTCGAAGCAAACACTTTGCTTTTAGATATTTTGACAATATAAACATATCTAAGAAATGTTCATAATGTTAGTGTAGTGACACACAAGATATCCGAGTTGTTTTCTTTGTGCAAAAGACAAATTTGGAAAACTAGATTACAGCCACGAAAAAGCTAGAAGTTTCAGTGGAAGAGAAGAAGTGAATTGTGAATTAAATATGGCTAAAAGTCACACAAAGGTATGATTTTGATTTTCTCTTTTCTCTGTGTCTAGGCTCCAGTTTTACTCAGCGGTGTAGAGTTTTTGTACCAGGTTATGGACTTCCCTGTATTAACAACACATGTATCAGTTGGTATGCTGATAACAAGTACATCGCCTCCAAAAATCCCTCTGACCGCATTTACAAGACCCAACAACCGTCAGTTCTGTTCCTCTTCTAATCAGTTTTCCCTGTGTGAGATACAACGGTGTTATTTGATCCCTCCATTCTCCACAGGCTTCAGAACCAATATGGTCTCCAGAAAGGTGTGTGGTTGGAGGTACTGCTGACGTTTAAGGAGACCAGAGAGGAAGATTTTTTCATTAACTACACCTGCCAAGCGCAGAGTTCTCGTGGACATCCTCAAGCCTATTTTACACTGTTACCAGAAGGTAGGAAAAAAACATTACTGCAGTAGTCGTACAGAGGTCCCCAACCGTTTTTGTATGGACTGGTTTCATGTAAGACAATATTTCGCCAAACCATGTTATGCAGAGAGGCTTTTGACATGTAGCTTTATGTTGGACTTTAAAAGGAACTTTTATGCTGTAAGTTGCTCTCCACAGACTTTTGTCTTGACAAGAATCTTGACCTGCGAAGAGGCAATTGTGATTCGAAGAGAACTCTCACACTTAATCAATAAAATTAAATATTCAATCACTCATTAAATTGCAAGGTTGGGGGTGGGGTGGGATGCTGGAACCAATCCCAGTAGTCAACAGGCAAGGGCAGGCTACATCCTGGACAGTTAGCCAATCCATCACAGCACAAAAGTGTGTAATTTCATTGACCCACTGCATGGTACTTGTCCAAGGCCTGGTGGTTGGGGACCTGTGGCTGAGTGGTTGTTTGACCTTACAAAAAACCCCCATTTATTCTGACTGTATGCGGGTCTCCCCAGATCCTGATGTCCTGCTGCCCATAGGCGCCGTGTTCAGTTGTCTGACGTTTCTCTTTATCATCAGCATCAGCATTTACTATCTTTACAAAGTGGATATAGTGCTGTGGTTCAGGAGTGTGTTTCCAGTCTTCTACACAAATACAGGTTACAGTCACACACTTTCCAGCATCAGACAATTTGTTAAACCACCAAAAAGAATTTTTCGCAAAGACACAGTGTGTACAATTTGTCATGTAGATATAGGTTGATAATGTGAATAACTCTTAGGGATGGACTTTCTCAAATGGACTTTCACTGATGTTTTGACCAGGGACGTCTAGGAGCTTGCTTGCTAATAGCAAAACAAAGAAGAAAAGAAAAATAGTGGCAAAGATGCGATATAGTGTTTAGAGATGTCTTCAAACCAAGTCCTCTCATAAATCAGAATTTCTGAAAGGAAGTGGCAGTCCTTATGCGTGCAATTGAGGTTCATCTCTACCTGCTGACTGTCACAAAACAGACAAAATGTCATCATAGGTCAAAACTCATCCTGCCTTGATGAAAAATACCCACATCAGTCAGTTGTATTGACATATTAGCAGGTGTGAAATACAGTAAAGGTGAAACCACCGTCTAAAGCTGGGCCTCAATTGAAATGCACAGAAACAAAGGAAATAAACCAACCACAGAGCCACCTGCACTCGTCCTTACCTAACTTCAGTCAACTGTGTCTGATGTCAACTATGAATACGGCGAGAAAGATCAGCTTCTGGTGACTTAACCTGCAGTATTGTCTTGTGTTTAGATTCAGATGGGAAACTGTACGATGCCTACGTGGCCTACCCACAACCTTCTGCCACTGGATACAATGAGGAAGTGGAGGCATTTGCTCTCCAGACTCTGCCTGAGGTGTTAGAAAGGAGCTGTGGGTATAAACTCTTCATAGCAGGCCGCGACTGTCTGCCTGGGGAGGGTAAGTCACTCACATGGGTTTTATTAGTTTAACGTTTAGTGACAGTGTACACAGGCTCCTTGACTTGCATCAGAGTTCCGTTCCTCTGGTGCATTGTATCTCAATTTTTGCCATAAGTCGGAACTCGCATACCGTCCATAAGTACCTATGTCACTCACCTATGCTAACACAGTGGTAACATCATAATCTAGGACATAAAAACACCAGACGAGTCTGACTTACACCTGGGAGTCATAATGATGGTCAAAAAGTTTCCAAAAAAACAACACAAATGAAACATAGCCAATGTAGCACAAGCCAATGTATGACGTACAAACGACTAATGTAAATGAACCCGTCTTCCACATATAGTGCCGCGTGATGACAATTGTCCACGCCACTCACCAATTAAATGTCATGCGAACTAGTTAGCGAGTTTTAGAGCTGTACATCAGAATGATGGAACAAGACATGGGAGATGGTGATGTAACCTCGAAATGCTGTAGATTGAGGACATTGTAACTTCTTTTGTTCAATAACAATAATTTATCTCATATCGCCCCCTTTTGGTGAATTTGCATCACCATCACATCATGTAATGTAAAAAAAAAAAAAATCACACAAATCTGAACGTCAATCTGTCACATTTCTCAATCTGGTCCCATTCTTTTAAATGTAAATCAAGTGTCTCTCTTCCATTGTCTTCCTGCAGCCATGGTGGACTCGGTGGAAGAGAATATTCAGGCCAGCCGCTGCCTCCTCCTGCTCTACTCTGCCTCCACTTTCCCCAGCAAAACACACACAAGCAGCACAAGCAGCACCGGCAGCAGCAACAACAACAACCACCCTAAGAATTATATCATTGAAGAAAGCGATGAAAGCAAAAGTGTTGACGTCAGAAGCAGCAGCAGCGTGGGTTTTAACAGTGATGCTGATGAAGTCCACTCAGACAGCAGGCAGCAGATGGAGTGTCTGGCAGCAATGCACAGATCGTTGCTGGAAGGATCGCTAAAGGTCGGAGCCACTCTTAATTACACACCATCATTGTTCAATTAATCGTCTGTTCATCCTTATCAGATGGTTTTTCCATACACAGAGTGGGAAAATAAAAAAAGATTTTAATGCCAGTGTGTTCCATGACAGGTTGTCCTGGTGGAGCTGGAGGAGATCACCCCAGCTCAGCTGGCTCTCTTTCCAGAGTCAGTGCGTCACCTGAGGAAAAAACAGGGCGCAGTGTGTTGGTGGAAGGAGAGGAGGGCGAAGAAAAGGTGGAGCAGGTGTGGGTCAAAGACTGGGAATGTGGAGCAGGACTCAAAGGCATCTCCGTCCGTCTCCCCTTCCTCCATGTTCTGGAAGGAGATCCGGTATCACATGCCGGTGAGGGGGAAGAGAGTCGCGTACCCAGAGAAGACAGCTTTGTTGAACCTATGATGAGCATTTACTGTGAATATCTAAGTTAAGGAGCTGTTTCCAGTGCATATGTGTGGTCAGGAAGTCTGTCATGTTGCCAAGTTACCTGTATGTCTTAGTAAATGTTACTTCTAAACTAAATCTGTTCATACCATCACATGATGTAAAATACATTTAGTTTGTCAGTGTAACAGAGGAACGATCTAAGTAATTCAACTAATGCTAAAGCCAGTGTTTTTCAAAACTGGGGTCGCAACCCCATGTGTGTTTGCCTGAAATGCGTAGTCATTTATTATTATTTTGAACTAAATATCTTTAATAACTTTCACTTCCATTAATATAAATACAGCATATGAAAAAAAATATTCTTAATTACAGTCTTTAATGTCATGTAACACAGGGATACAAATGTATATGTAATCTGCTTTTAACCCATCACCAAAGTGAACAGTGGGCAGAGTGTGGGGACGGTGTCATGCTCAGAGCACCGCAGTGGTAACTTGGCAGTTGGTGGACTCAAACCTGAAGCCCTCCAGACCCAAGTCCACTTCCTCAACCACTAAGCCACCACTGCCCATAATAAAACAAATTTAATAACAGTATGTTTAAGAGAGGATTTTTGATGATTGCACTGCAAAGATAATTCCACTTTCGCTATTACATCTGAAGAAAGGGTTGGTGGCCTACTTATTTAAACCACAGTTAGGGTTGCTACCTATATAGAAGATGGGTGGTATTTTCTAGCTTGAATTTCATGCAAAGGTTAGCAGAACATACATAAATTGAGGTGCAGTCGGAAAACCCAGGACCAGTCAGAGGCTCAGTGCAGTCAAGGAAGTCAACTGTTGAGCTTCAGCAGCTTTTCATTCAGGGTAAGTTGCTAACAATCAAAGAAATATAACATCTTTTCAACTTTTGTATCTATTTTAATTTATTTTTAACAAGGCTGTTTAATTTAAAGCTATTATAGGTCTTTAAGTTTAAAGTTTTTGCATTGTTTTCATATAATCAGATAGCCTTTATTGTCATTTGCATAACAACGTAAATACGTTGGGTAGACTCAGTTTCCAAAAAAAAGACAAGAGAAACCAAGACAAGCTAAGCTAAGATAAGATAAGCTAAGATAAGCTAAGATAAGATAAGATAAGCTAAGATAAGCTAAGATAAGATAAGATAAGATAAGCTAAGATAAGATAAGATCAGATAAGATAAGCTAAGATAAGTCATTGTGGTTATCAAGAATTTTGAAAATCCAAAACAAATATCAAGATAAGATAAGACAAGACAAGCTAAGCTAAGATAAGAACTCTTATCATGGTTATCACCTCATGAGACAGTGCCAATTGTGTTTCTGTATCCTGTAGAATTTTTTCCAAAAATCCTGACATAACTTTTAAATAACATCTCAAATGTGTCATTACACATGGAACTTCCTGGGAACTAACTGGAACAATTTTAGCCCTACCTTCACTTCTCACTTCCCCTTACAGGAGTATTTTTGAGACAAAGGCGCAATTATATTTATTGAAGGAGTCATTCCTTCAAGAGCATAAGAAATGGCTGATAAATCAGTGAAATTTGACCTGTTCAGTCTCACACAGGAGAACCATGGCACTGTCCTCAGGGTGGATCTGTTCACTGGCTGCATTCATGTTTCTAGGACCTTTTGTAGCACATGGTAAGTAAAAAACTTGTCCTATCCTCTGAGCTTCATGTTTTTGTTTCTTTTTTTTGTTTGTTTTCTCAACAAAACTAAGTCCTCAACATAAACGTTCAAAAACTTACATTTTTCAATTCTAAGCTGGCAACTGTTGCCAACTGTTCTTAACATAATCTTTTACACGTGTATATTTTCTGGTTATCTCCTACAGGGAGAACAAGTTATTTGACAAAGTTATCATTTTAATGTCAAGGCAAAATAAAATCGGACTTTTAAAGAAGTTTCTGGAAGTTTCAGGTTACTCAATAATAAATGTCTTTGACGCTCAGCAGCTAAGGCTAACTGTACAGTGGGTCAATGAAGGGATTTTATTTTTACTTTAAATAAGTAAACTGTATTTACTTTGCTGTGGTTGTACTGCAGATTTAAAAAGGAGTAAGTAATAAAACAGATGAGAACAATTCCTGTATCCAGTATGCACTACAGCTATACACGTTATACAGAAAAAGGAAGTTACCGGCAAACTTTGTCACCAAAATTGCTCAAGAATCCTTAAAGGTATGAGTCAGCTAAACCACTGCGGTGTCTGCCGCAGAAAACAGTGAATAAAGCTGTGAGAAAAACAAAAGGACTGCTCTGTGCGAATGTTCTAGTCATTATTGGTAGACTGTTCATAAGAAGTGGAAAAAGTTAGTGTAGCAGTTAACTACCCGAATATAACGGTTGAACTGGGTCTGAATGTAGGTCAATCTAAAAACTTATTCCAGGAAATGTTTACATACAATCTGAACTCACTACAGAACTAACTTTAAAATGTTTGATATTTTATCTTTGGTAAGTTGTGGCACAAATGAACAGAACAAGCAGTGGTGTCAAACATACGACCCGCAGGCCAAAACGATGCATTCTCTCGTCAGCAATTTCAAATACCAACAAGAGTTTTAGGTCCACAGTAACTGCAGCGCGGGGAGTTTCGAGATAAACATAACAAGTAGGGATGTTCGATAACAATTAGCATTATATGTAATATATGTAAAAATCGTTATTGTCAAACATACGAATAATGAAAACCCAATAACGCAATGCCTGGGTTTCGTCAAATGATGCGTGCCCTATAAATAGTTTTGGGGAATAAACTGATGTATAATCAAGTGAGAGTCACTAGATGGCAGCATCGCTCATTCAATTAATCTCATACTCATACAGTGGTTTGTATTGACAAATAAACCAATATTACCAGGCCTGTATCCAGTATCTGTTGATATTGAAATCGGAAATTAAGTGTTTGGACAATATTATTATATTGAATATCGTCAAAAACTTCGGATATATAATATCGGACATCCCTAATAAAAGCAGCAGAAAGGCATATAAATGGTCAGTCTGCCGTCACTCCCCTCTTGTAATATATAATTGTTCTTTGATAATTCACCACAAGTCAGAGTTAGTAGTTCACAGATACAGACAACCCCCGGCTCCACGCCGTGTAGCGCACAGGTCCAGTAACACTGGCCTTGGTAAATGAAACAGCCTCATCAGCCAATAACCATCATTCTCCATTAAATCCTCACGTTCCCTAAATACATGCTCCCGTCTTATTGCAAGATGTTCTAACAACACTACCGTTGGAATTGTTAAAACGGTTTGTGTTTCCCAGCATCAGCGTCGCCAAAGGCACACAGCTGTAGAAACACATGTACGCTAGCTCTGGAGCTATCGTGAGGCCCGAGTATTTCTACAACCATTTCAATTTTGAGACGTCTGAAAGTGAGCGTGGAAAAGGGCGTAAGACACTGTTTTGTGCGTACGCTAGGTTTGCACACAAGGTGCCGCCCATTTCTACACTCATTCCGGTTTTGATACATTAGAACGTCAGCGTAGAAAAGGGCGTAAGCAACTTTCTTGTGCGTACGAAACATTGATACATCAGGCCCCTGGTGTACTGGCCTGTCTCCATACTCCATACACAATTAACCTTCTGGCCTTCTAAAATTGTTGATTAACAACCAGTGTTGCTTCCTGACTTCTCTCTCTCTCTCACCCCTAACAGTGCACAGCGGAAACACAGAGACGTACCTCGCGAGCGTCGGCCACCTCTTCCCGCTGAGGTGCCACATTTCTTATGCTCACACCAATGTGACTTGGAGCAAAGCAGGGAGAGGTGACAAGAGCCTCCCCAGTGGAGTGGAGGTCAAGGACGGACTAATGTGGTTTCTACCTGTACAACTTTCCCACAATGGGACCTACATCTGTGAGAAAAGGTATCAAACTCCAGGATAGTTTACGCTGGACAAATTCAAATTTTTGCTCACCAGCACGGTGACTATTGTACAGCCCGTGTAGTCTACAGGGTTAGAGTAAGCTAGCTTCCTAACATGGATGAAAATGTCCGTCTCCTTTTCTGCAGAGGCGAGAATAGATCGGTGGCGATGGAGTTTGGACTGTTAGTCTCCACAGGAGACTGTCCGGACGCAGCTGAGAATATAACAGTTCCTCTGGGAGTCAGAGGAGGTTTGCCTTGTAAACAAAATGAGATCTTCAGACTCAACGCAACAAGGAGCATACGATGGATGAAGGTATAAATGATAATAATAATATATTGAATACATATTTAAACTTTCATATAAGGTTATATGCTTAAAAGTTTAAGAGCCACTGATATGGAGAAAGGTAAGTTAGGTCATAAACCTGGAAACAGTGCCCTCTACTGTTCACCTCAGAAAGTCCTCCTTAATTTTATGTGACCAATACATTTTTACAGTGTTTTTGCTTCTTTGCGTAGGACTGCCACCAGGTAGAGCTCCTCTCTTTGCAAGACAACGGGTACATGAGGCTTCCTGCAGTCAAGGAAAACGATGCTGGAAAATACACCTGCCTCATAGACATCAGTTTGGATGGCAGGACGTACACCGCAGCCCGCAGCATCCAGCTGACAGTTAGCAGTACGTTCAAAAATATAAGATGAAACAGCTTTCACTGAGTTTATATTAGAAAAGCGTGTATATTTGGTATACTAGTAGTATATTTATAGTAAGTATATGTAGTTGTAAACGCCTCACAACCAAAGCACTGTGTGATTGGATCACATGTACATGTTTCAGATGTTGAAGACATGATATACGTTGAACCTCAGCTGGTTTTCCCTCGTGACCAGGTGGTCATGGTTGAAGTTGGTGAGTTGCACAATAACTGCACCATCTGTGCAGAAGATCTGCAGTTGATATTGAAAGATGCTCAACGTAGATCGTAAATAAGAACTGGACATCTACTGTATATTAGTGAAATAGTTCTGTATACATTCTGCTGCTTTTGCTTCAGGTCAGAAGGCCGAGCTCAGGTGTTTGGCTTACATCGGCTTCAGTAAGGATCAGGGAATCCTCATGTACTGGACCGTGGAGGGAAACTACATTGAGGATTACGAAGAACTGGAAGAGTTCTGCGAATAGTAAGTGTATGCGCCATGATAGAAAAAGCCTCTGTTAAATAGCATTGATTGTTTTTTGGAAACCCAACTCTAATTGTGCCCAACAATGATGACTAGCATGCTGAAAATCAATAGCTATGGTATTAAGTGGACCATTAAGACAACATCTTAGACCAGAGCTGAACAATAAGCAGCAGCATATTCAGTTTAATGAAGGTAAGGCGGTAAACAGATTAGTGCTTGGTGGTTGGTTACGTGACTGAAAAAGTCTTTGTATCACGGATACAATTTGTATTCTGTTCTCACTCTCTAAGCTACATCATGAAATAAAAGACTGACTAACAAAGGCATATCTTTGTCTTACAGTAAGTACAAGAGAGGCAGGGTGTATGTCATGTCCACTCTGTCCATCTCTAAAGTACACAGTGTCTTCTTGAATGTCCCAATTCACTGCAACGTAAACAGCCCAGCAGGACAAAATGTTGGATTAGTGGTGCTTAAGGAAGGTAAAGTATCTTTGGCTATTTTTAATAAAAATGTATACCACAGCAAAAATCACATTCAGCAAGGTACATTATCTTTGAATGTCTGATCCTGCAGACAAACAGCACTACAGGGTCTAATCCGCTCAGTATCTTGTACCTAAGCCCAGAAAAAATAAGCAATTTAAGCTAGCAGTTTGGATCACAAAACAAAGTTAACACTAAAGTCAGAAAATCAAAATCATGATTTTGAGGAGCTCTGCAGTTGGAAATATCTAACCTCCTCTGAGGAGTTTGGTCCTAAAGGTGAAAACGTTTACAAAAGTGACAGACGTGAGTTTTCAGTCACACAAGGTTGTTAGATTGGAAGTTGAGAAGGCAAGAGGAATTTTATCGTTTAGGAAAGTGATTATTGAAGCCCTCACTTCAATCACATGTGGCTAGAATACCCACAAACCTTTTCATCTCTTGGATCAGATTTTTTTTTTTTTTTTTGCGGCCCACAGAAGTTGATGATTGGAGTAGGGCTGCACGCTGGCTAGTTTTGTTGAAACACTTGCCTTTACAACAAGGAAGTCCACTGCTTCACTGTACTGTAAGTCAGGTCAATTTACAGTATTTAAAAATACTTGGGTTTCCTCCTACAGCACAAAAACAGGGTATTATGGTTTGACCTAATAACTGACCACAGGTTTGAATGTGAGCTTGAATGGTTTCTTTTCCTCTACCTATGACCCTAAGATCCAGGCAGTACCACGGCCTCGCCCATTGCCAGCTAGCATTAGCTCTAGCACCCCTGTAACCCTATAGGCCGACGGTCCCCAACTTTTTTTGCTTGAAGAGTTTTTTTTTTTTTTTTTTTGCGGCCCACAGAAGTTGATGATTGGAGTAGGGCTGCACGCTGGCTAGTTTTGTTGAAACACTTGCCTTTACAACAAGGAAGTCCACTGCTTCACTGTACTGTAAGTCAGGTCAATTTACAGTATTTAAAAATACTTGGGTTTCCTCCTACAGCACAAAAACAGGGTATTATGGTTTGACCTAATAACTGACCACAGGTTTGAATGTGAGCTTGAATGGTTTCTTTTCCTCTACCTATGACCCTAAGATCCAGGCAGTACCACGGCCTCGCCCATTGCCAGCTAGCATTAGCTCTAGCACCCCTGTAACCCTATAGGCCGACGGTCCCCAACTTTTTTTGCACCACAGACCGGTTAAATGTCTGACAATTTTTTCACGAATCGGCGCTGTGGCGGAAAAATACAACTAAATAAAATGATACAACCGGCATAAAAATGTATGTATTCTCTACATACAATATCGCAATACCGGCATAAAAATGTATGTATTCTCTACCTACAAAATCAGCAAGCCACTATGTATGCAACTTTATTAGTAGCGCCCTCGTAACATCGCGCTTGTCTTTAAATGCAGAACGCATATTATGCAGTGCGGGCAGGGTGTCGCAATAATAAAGTGTCTCCTCACCGACTCTCTTACCCTGTGCAAAGAAACCTTCCAAAGACATTTGTTTTTTGCTATCGAGGCAAGCACCTTGACATTTATCAAGTACTGAATGAGTCATAGACAGGTGCATGGAATTTTTCAAAATGTGACTGATTCACCATCTGTCTTCTCATCTCCTCTGTGTTCTTCCTCAGCTGACCACAGCAGCTTCAGTATCACTCTATCAATCTGCCTTGTCACTTTGCTGACGCTTCTGATACTGGCTGTGGTCTATCTCTTCTTCAAGGAGGATGTGCTGTTGACTTACAGAAATATGGCCAACCATTTATCAAGACCTGGTCAGTGTTTTGTTTTTTTAGAATTTTTTAGAATATAGTCAAGTAATATTGTTGAAAATTATCACCTGGATTTAAAAAAAAAAAAAAAAAAAAAAAGAAGATTTTTGTTAACTTTGGGAAGTGACTCAAGGAATACGAATCCAGAAATATTTTTGTGCTTGTTCAATGATTCTGAGTATCGGAATGGTAGTCACGAATGAACTATGAGTCATATGAATACACACTAACATTTATAGTTAGGGTAAAGTTAGAGTATACAATTCAACAAATTCTGCTATTTTTGGCCTGTGGAGGAAACTGTGGTGGTACTTGGAAAGAACCTACTCACGAACAAATAATGAAAACACTGGCTTCAATCATGTAGCTCTGGCTTTGTTTTTATATAAACAGGGACACGTTTGATTTAGTAGCCTTTAGTCAGAAAGGCTTGGTAAATTCTAGTCATGTTTTTTTTCTTTATCTCAGGGCTTCTCTGTTGTGGTACTGTGGTTGCTGTTATGTGTAAAGCTCTGCTGTGTCTTCATTGAAAATACGATACGATAAGATATTTAGATGCAAAAACTAAGAAAAAGCTAGTCTCATAGTAACAAGTAAATCGCCATAACATGGCTAAACAAATGCATATCGGTAGGTTATCAGAACCTGCAACAAAACACAACTGAATCAATGCGCTCTGTTTCCTTTAGCCCCTGATGGAAAGCTCTACGATGGCTACGTGGCCTTTCTTTCCGAGAACCAAAGATCGGCAGAGTCAGCAAACTTTGCTCTGCAGATCCTGCCACGCGAGCTTGAGGTGAAACACGGCTACTCCTTGTTTATCAGAGGACGAGATGACTGCCCTGGTGAAGGTAAGCAACATGCACGCCTGGTTTATGTGTGGTTGTAAAACAGCTAACCATGTATTTTAATGTGCTGAGGAAGTGGAATTACAAAACGGAAAGTTTTCTTCAGTGCGACTTTTTTTCTCTTCACTAGTTAAAAAAATAAAAAAAATATATAAAAAACTAAATACTAAAAAAGAAACTGTAGTAACAATTCCCACAAACTGCACTCAGTCACAGGTTCTCTTCAACTTCAACAACTTAAAAAAAAAAAAAGTACTAGGCGACTGGGATGAGTTACTACATGAAAATGATTCCTGTTCACTGACGTTTCTCACAGAGAAAAAAAGGGGAGTTCCATAGGGTATTTGTTAGCATGCCTACTTCAAGATCAGCTGGTCTTAGGTTTAATTTCCAGAGAAACCACATGCTTGGTACCTCCAAGGGGCAGCCTGATGCAACTGATCTGCTGTTAATACGAGAATTTCCCAAGTGTGGGATCCATGAAGTTGAAATGATTATTATTGTATTATTGGTAAGGATTTTAAGAAATAAAAAGAATGGTTTATTATATAGTTATCATAACGTTATTTCAATCTAACAACATCAGTTTTAGTCAAAGACAATGTACTGCACCCACGGGTTCTGTTACAGTAATTATTTTTATATATAAAAGAATGAGTTAAAGGTTAAAATCTTTGTTTCCTTTTTTCGACTACACTTCAGCTTTTCACGACATCATCTCTGATACTGTGACCCAGTGCAGCAGACTGATTATTGTTCTGTCCCAGTCCTCGGCTGACAGCCAATCAGAGGAGGGACCATCCTTACACGCCGACCAAGGACAGCTGTCCTATGAACAGAAAATTGGAATTCATGACGCTTTGACTCGGAACGAACCTCAAGTGATTTTGGTGGAAATAGGTGAGGGCTTCACACAACGGGTTTGATACATGCCATTTATGAGACCACAACAACACAACCGGGGGCCAGTTAAAACAATCTACCAGACTCTGTGCTATATATTTTATATATAATATTTTAAGTTAAGAGCTTACAGTAAAACCCGTGTACATTTATTTATTTATATTTTCAATATGAGATTTTGGGGGCCAGATTTTGTGCTTATTCTATGTATTTTTGCTCATATTTCTTTTAAGTTATTAATATATAATTAAATTATTCAAAATTCCTCCTTGTGTTTACTAGATGGTCCGGTGGATTATGGTCGTCTGCCAGAGTCTCTTCACTACATCAAGAGAAAACAGGGAGCCCTCATGTGGGAAACAGGCTTTTTGGGAACAAACAAACCTACAAAACTGTACTCAAAAAGAAGGTTTTGGAAGAAGCTACAGTACCACATGCCTTCAGTGCCTGTGAAAAGCCTGCACACTGGCATATGAAACAAGTCTGTTTGGCTCAGAAAGCCTATTGCTCTTTGTTACATGACAAACTTTGGGGCGGCTGCCTGCATACTCAGGTCCTGAGGCAAGATTGAGTAACACTCAACTGCAATTAAATCAACAATAACAAATGACTGTATGTTCTACACACTGCCAACAGCAGTGATTCAAATTTGGGTGCAATCAAAAGAAACAACAATTACTGGCTTATTCCGTCATCGGACCTTACAGAACAAAACTGTAAAAGTACATATTAAGTCTATATGGGAGGGGTCTGAGACTAGAACCCTGAGGGATCCCTCATGTCAAAGCCATTCAGTTAGATTCATCATTTCCACAAAGTAACTCATAAATAAAGACAAGACTTTGTTAGTGGATGTCAAAATGAATTTTGAAGTTTGACTCTGACCTGATGGTTACAGTGTTCCCCCCTGGTGTTTTCTGTCACCTCAAGGTTATAACCTGGTTTTAACCTTGAGGTGACAGAAAACACCTCAAGGTTTTCTTTGTACATGGTGTGGTTTTAATGGGAACCGCAGCATACATAACATTTGAGATTCTTCTCATTTAATGGACCTTTTTTGGAAGTTGATTAGAAAGCAAAGTGATTTCCATCAATAAAAAAAAAAAAGTCAACATCCTTAGAGATAACCAAACCTGGTGTGAGTCCTTTAGCATGTGTTATGACAAATTTATATTCTGTGTTATTATTCACCATTTGACTTGTACTGAACCTCAGGTAGGGAAATCCACTCATTATTGTTTCTCTGGCTCCTAAAAGGCTTTGAAAAGTGTATCCACATAATCCCTGTTTCTGAGTTCCTGTAACACCAGATAATCTCACAGGTAGCGATTGTACTGAGGCCAACGTGCACTCATATTCTTGTATGCACACACAAACATATCCAGCACACTATGCACTTGCCTGCAAACTGGTACTCTCGTACAGACCATTGCCTGTGTTGCTCTCTGTAAGACCTGCGCCCCGGAGCTTCATTAAAGCTTCGACAACAACTTTCGCGTTAATACTTTAATAACTTTGTGGTAACAGTGTCATTAATTAGTTAAAATAAATAAAGTATTTATTATGAATAATTAATAAAGGTATAAATGACTGTACCTTTTGCTATTAACATGTGCTGCATGCACGAAATGTTCTAGCACCAGAAACCACTAAAAGATAATCACTTCCTTTCGACATGTTTCCTGTTCAAAGTTAAAGAGCAGATTATATCACTGGTCTCATTTATCTCATGTACCATGACATCCTGCAGCGTCTTCAAAAACAGCAGTTTTGGACATGTTTAGTCCATTTCAAACCTTAGAGCATTTTTTTACGAAAAAAAAAAACAAAAAGTTGCCACTGTGTTCCTTTTGTGATTTTAAAAATTTGCAATAACCTATTAATGATGTGTCATTGTTTCGTTTTATATGTCATTTTTTGCCATTACCCACGGGCCACAATCGTCCTAAAATTGAACAGGGGGGGCCGGGTCAGGAGCAGATAGATGGAGCGTTCATGTGAACTAAGACAAATGACATGTTATGCATGAAGGCTAAAACGCTGAAATGCTTTTATCATTTTCTACGCCATCATCATTTGTCACACCACTGCACACGCTGAATGTACACACACACATATATATACAGTATGTACACATATATACATATATAGATATATGTTCAGACAGTGGTTAATGTTGCATGGCAGTTGCTTTTGTATTTTAAGCATGTTTAGAGGCAAGAAGTCAATAATTTGCTTTTTGATTCACGCAATATTTGAAACCAGTAGAATTATGTACGCAACTAAATACTTGTTTTCTTTTGCGATCTGTAAGAAATGTACAGAATCGCTTCATTTCTTTTCACAGAAGGTCTAATTCATTACCACTTTTGCAGTTTAGTTTACATTGTTGGCTTTCTTCCGATTTTTCAGTCTTGCAAAAGACCGCCAGCGGTTAAAATAAAGTTCTTTCTTTCTTCTTTTTAGCCTTTGGCATGTCTGCTCATATTTAGATTGGCAAAATAGATCAAATCACATATATATATATATATATATACATATACATATATATATATATATATACATATACATATATATATATATATATACATAT